CTGGAGGCGGTGGCAGCTGCGACATGTGCGGCAGTTCAAAGGGGATGACACTGATCACTTGGCACCCTCTCTCCACGAACGCCATTAGTGACGTCTCCCGTTTGTACACGAACTCAAGGAACAAATTCTTAAGTAGCGCCATGTTCCGAGTGGCTGCGCGCTGCTGTAGATACAGGAAGACGCACCCACGAGTGTCCAGATGATGCTTTGGTTTGGCAAGGAGAAGTGCCGCTTCGCGACGTCTCTGGGCGCTGGTGCTCAGCACCGGGTACATGGTGATGATGGTACAGCCGTGTTGCATCATGGGGGCCAACGTGTTCTCGTGTTCGTTGAGGAAATCAGCAAAGATGCGACGCAGCATCAACATGTTCACACACTTGAGGCGCTGCTCCAAATACGCAGCAAAATCTTGCAGCATAGCGTGATCTCGAGGCACGGAATCGGGTGGGCCCTTTCCGCGACTCACGTACCCATCTAGTGTCACGATGGAGCGCGCCTGCGTTGTCGGGCCTGAGGCCGTCGCCATGGCGTCCACGGTATCCGTTATCCGGTGATGTTGAAATGGAGGATGCTATCGTAATACATTTAAATACTTTTCGTTATCGCCCGAAATATATTTAAAATTATATAAGACAATCATTGCAGGACACTTCATTTTGTTTGATATAGAAATTATTGAGATACATTGATTTTGCCGTATCCTTACACTACAGTCGAGTGGCTAAGACGAGGATTACGCGGCTTGTATGAAGCAGAGAACCAGCATTCTGGTGAATATCTTCTCGCTGACAATGTTAAGTGACGTGGTGAAGGGAATGCTAGAGTTGGTTACGTAGAAGCACATTCGTACCAACTATCAGAAGCTTTACAAGCCTGCACCAGCCCTGCTATAACCGGTTTTAGGCAAGCTGACTCGGTCAAGAGACAAGCAGCCGCAGAAGTGGAAAGACAGCAGCTAAATTAGGCTCAAAAGAGGGCATCCAACAGCCGAACCTCGGAAAAGTGGGGGGGGGGCGCACAACACGACACGTGATACACTCCGCCACCGCGGACAGGACGTCTTCACTACAAGGGTGAACGTTGGCTACGAGATAGCCCAACTGCCGCACCTGAAGAAAAGAAAGAAGCCAGGTCACATAAGAATAAGGCTTGGAAAGTCAAGCGTGCAGCTGAAGGGAAACCGTCGACAGAGATCGCTGGACCCGATGATGGAGAGAAAGAAGTGAGCAAGGTGTTAAATGACGAGGAGTACACAGGTCTGATCAATGGAGCCGTGGGGATCTGACTGTGTCCAGACACGGGTGCAGACAAGTCTATCCTTCAGCCAGCAGATGCAATACAACAAAGTTTAAATGCAGGACGGCCGGTAGGGACTCGAAGACTCGAACACCAGAGTGTACCGGTAGGTAAAAAAACTACGCCGAGTCATGAGGCTGCTCTGATTGATGTGCAAATATGCCGCCGGTTGTGACTTCCTGGTCGTCGAAGAGGAAGATGGGGGAATTCTATGGCAAATTTTGAGTCGTGGGTCTTCTCGGTTATTTTCGTTGGTCTGTTTCAGTATGCGTTGGCGTTGGCTCGGAGCGACTATGGATTTCAATTCTAGGATCAGACAAAATGGATGCGGCAGTTACTCTTAGAATGGATGTGTGTTCCATGTATACAAACGATATCCTCTTAGCATTAAGACGCAACCAAATACATGTAAGCAGAATAATCCTATCATCACTACTCAAATCCAAAAGTAACCGACTCAGACCCCCACCGTCTGTACGCAAGCGGTATCTTTGACTTGACGCGTCGTCTCCGGAACTCCATGATCCCTATAAATGATCCCAACACGCTATTAACTACAGTGAGTGTAGTAGCGTTTACGCACGTTTCTCCTTTTCCACAGTAAACAGCGACTGCAGAGAAGACCACGGCAAGTGCCATGATAACCAATCCTCCATCAAAGTACCATCGAATCCATCCTGACCTGACATCATCAAGTAGTGCTGCATCAAAATCATGTTACAGTAGTTGTGGGGGAGAATAACGCACTTACGCTTGTACTTGATGCCTTGATCCGGCTCATCCGGACAGTCCACCAGCACATGGATGTCTCTGTCTACTAGCTCGAAGTTGTCACCGAAGTATTCATCATTGTTCAGTCTGCACGTCTCGTCCAGTAGCAAGTGCTCTTGCATGAGGTTTTTGATTCGGTCTGGAAGTTTTTTCAACTTAACCGCCTTAATGTCTGCGTCTCGCGAGTTTAGCCAAGTGTCACCCTCCCGCGCGAGATACAGCTTCAGCAGATCTGCATCAAAGTAGATCAAACCGGGCTTCTCCTCCTTGATCTTCTCTTTCAGATCACCGACCATCTCGCTGAGCTCAATGTCCACAGGGAAGACGCTCCCGACTCCAACCACCGCGCAGAACAGCTTCACCATCGTGTTTCTTTTTGTGGAATGCCAGATTTCCTTGTCTGAGCCCAATAATCCTTGCAATTCATTCCACGATTCATTTTGCAATTCATTAGCTGATAGAAACGAGGATGTGACAATTGTGTTCGATAGTTTGATGGAGTCACCGGATCCAGCAGTTGATTAATTCTGAATTTTTATTCAAATTCTACAGTTTTAGGATGTGGAAGCTGCTTGCAGCCTGAACTTCTCGGCGTATTTACCTTCGGTATCGACGATTTAAATAGCTCTGGAATGGGCCCAAGAGGCAGCACAGCGTTTGATACGTTGTTGAGCTCGATCACAGCGAAGTCGCAGCTGAGTAACACTTCGTCGCCAGTGACGAAATGCGTGTGCTCAACGACGTCGAGTGGCCAGTTGACCGGCAGCGACGAGTTGGCTGGGACCTCCACGGTACAAGCACTGATAAAGGTAAGACCGAGCATATGACTGAAGAACACACGCCTTTATCGCTTGATGTGCTAGCATAGCAGCTCGACTAAGTGCCTTCGGACTCGTCTGTGGTTGCTTTACAGTTGAGATTTTAGACTGACGCGTGGTCGAACACGACAAACCCGTACTTCCTCCTGATTTCACTGACGCGTGGTCGAGCACGACAAACCCGTACTTCCTCCTGATTTACGGGAGGTACTCCATTTAACGTTTACTTTCAAATCCAACAGCCCTTCTCAAGAGCTAGAGATTCACGTTGGTACTCCCGTCTTACCGACGTATTCAGAATCGACAAGTCGTTGTCAATGAGCCGGAAATGCTTATCAAAATCCGAGCAGAAGTCAGCGAGTGCACAAGGGTATCGACGCGGTCCTGCACCACGATGTGGTTCTTGTGGGCGAACTCGTATTTCCTTTAGGTAGCTGAAACTCAAAACACCTTGAGCTTGATGATACACTGTGGCTTCTCGTTCGTGACGTTTGTGGATCGATTCCGAAGTAGAAAGAGCTTTTTTGCTCTTGCCAAGGCAGGAAACACTGCTGACTCGGTCATCGTCTCCAATAGGATTTAACCAAGGACGCTTCGAAATGGCTACATTTGAGCAAGATGAAAGAAAGATCATCCACCGATGCACCTACATCTACACTCGAGTTTCGTGTTTAGCGTCATGATTGTTTGGCTACGAGAGAAAGAAACAAAACTGCAATGGCAAATACAGATTGCAGTCCAGTGTAGTTTAATTTTTGTAGAATCCACTTCTTGACAAATTAACTACAGAGCGGCTGCACTCAATCCGATTTAACTGGTTTCTATTCTGAAAATCGGCTAAGAAACAAACATTTGATACTTGCAGATCTGTACATGGCGGCCGATGATGGAGACTTTATAGCGAGGGACAGCGTGCGTGTGGAGACTTCAAGAATCATGGACTTGCTTTGGGGTCGTCAGGGTGGTGTGTATGCATCGTCTGGTCCTGTGACTGCCGGTATGGAGTATAGAGGCGGATTGGAGACTCCTTGTCACAAAGCGATGGGTGGTGGAGATCTGGAACAAAGTGTACCGGTGTATTTGTGCTGTTTTACATTGAGTGGAGCAGCACTTTACATGTTATTTGGGCTTTGCGCGCACTGCGACCGATATTAGGTGGTCTGATGGGCTGCCTGTAACCCTAGACAAGAGAGAGGGGAGGCCTATTTATTGTAGAGGCTCTCTTCGATTAGTTGGGGCTTCAATAAGGGGGTAAACCTCGTCCGAGTGTGTTGCATGTTGTTTGTTGACGTCTTTGTTTTCCTCACACTCGGGTCACAACGAGGATTTAAGTGACAAAAGGAGAATGAAATGATGGGGTTTCAGTGGTGTCTGAAGGACTCGATGTATATTTACATGCTCTCTGCTCCGTTGTAGACAATGCTTACACACTGGTTTACTATTGTTCCAAGTGTCTCTTGTTACCTCGTTTTGCTGTTTGGAGTGTGTCTGGTGATTGATACACAGTGCTCTTATCCTGCTCTCTGCTTGGCTCCATGTCTGTTGGCTGGGGCTCGGGTGTGTCACGTGCTGCTGTGGCGTCTTTTGGAGTTTGCTCCTCGAGTTTATTGCAAGTTTCTGCAAAGTATTTGCCAAGTATGGGGAGCGCAATGGAGTCGCGAATGGCGAATGCAAGTTCAGTGCAAATGGTGCTGGAGGTGCAGAGGAATTGCTGCGAGGGGCTGCACATGGTGACGGTGCTGAGAGCTTCCGAAGGGTTGCCGTTCGACTGCGTTTTATCTCATTTTTGAGTGCTGGATGCAGTCACGACGCTTGCAACAAAGGTTCGTCCTTGTCTGTTGGAAGACGACGGAGCTGTTTGCTGTGTGCGTTTCTTGACGCATTTTCTCAGTTTGTTTGCCGCTGGCCGTTCACAAAGTGTCCGGTGCTTGGATCGTCCTCCAAATTACCCCCAATGTGGAATCTGACTGGCTGCCAATTTAATCGGGAGGTACATGTCACATGCAATATAGCTATCACTGATAGGTATTACAACCGGCATCAATTTATATCAGATGTCTAAAACGTTGCTTTCTCCGTATTTTACGAGTGACCGCGTATTTTTCATAGTTTCCTTCATCGTCTGCAGTAAAAAATCGATCTCGTGTTTCCCAGCTGCGGGGCAGTAGCGCTGGATTAGTTCATCGCAGATATCTTCGAAGCACTGAAATTTCAGTTTATCTTTTTCGGGTTCAGCAAAATTCAGGAATGCAGTAGATAGTTCCTTGCATCAAGTCGTACTGCTCTTGGTTCTCGTAAATTACTCGAGTATTCGCGAATTTTGCAAGATAAGTCATCACTGTTCGCTCGTGTACTATCCACTCAGTAAGTTCGTCAAGTGAAATTTTCCCATTCTGATCCCGATCAATGCGTGAGAAAGCGTCAGTAGCAAGGGCTTCAAGACTGTCTGTAGCTGGTCTGGGCTTACCGACCACTTTACAAAGCCCTCTAGTCGTGCAAAGCATCAGTAGAACCAATTCATCCTGTGATATCATCTTGGAGTGGTCGAAATCGAAGAGATCAAATAGAAATGGAACTTTCTCCTCCATCGTCGCATTGCAGTACACGATGATCACAGCAAACACTTCCGTCACATCCACCTGATTTTTAAAAAGAAAAACTAAAGATTTTAAGTTTTTGATTAAAAAAGAAATAGTTGACTTGCCTTGCCGACTTCCCACGAGTCGAAAAGTACAAAATGTTCGAGTGAATCTTGACAGATGAGTGAGAAGATGTCATCAAACTCTTCTGGATTGACAGTCATCTTGTCTCCTAAAGTTCCTTGTAAGGTTTCAAAGTTCTCCTTCGCATCACGAAAATCATCCAATGTTGCTAGAGAAAAAGAAGACAGTTAAACCTTGCAAGTCTCGCCCTCACACTCGCTCTAACCTGCTTTATGATATTCATAAGATTCAGATCACGTCATTCATCACATAATTTGCCACGTGTACATTTAGCAGAGGATCGTCGCTCACGATCGGGCCGACCACGTCGACGGTCAGTGCGTTCCCCATCTCGTCGTCTTAATTAGAGCAACTTTCGGCAAGTCAAACTTAGAAACGGTTTGTCTACAGACTATTCATAACTCGCTTCAAGTCCTCGACCGCTCACAAGTTATCGACATGGATTTCATCTCCGTCGGTCTTGCCAGTCCGCCATTCCGACGTCCAACACAGCGAAAGGCTTTGCAACTACCACCTCGTCCTTGCCCCCTTTACAAACCACCAGTGACATCTCCCCATCTCCGAGAAAACACGATAAATCACGACCCATCCAAGTCTCTTCCTGGCCCTTAACCTTCGCACCTGGAAGTCCGATACGTATCCCAACCGACTCTATTGATTACGATGCGTTCTCTCCAATATCTCCTAAAGTACAAAAGCTCCACACCCGTACACGTCTACTAGACGATAGTCGAACACGACCGGCATTACTACAAGAACTCCTCGAGTATCTTCACACAGAGCTCGATGGAGAGCGAGAGTCAAGAAAGCCCAGTTTACGACGGCTACAAATCGTAAGAGAAGCTCTCAATCGCCTCATCGACGGCTTCAGTGCGTACGCACCTGTCCTTTTGCAAATCCGAGATGAATATGAACGTGCAGTCGAAGATCTTCATGCTCGAAATTTGATGATCCCGGGACTGCAGACTCGACTACAAAGTATGGAGACTCACTGTCTTCAACAACTCAGTGCGTATAGTGCAGAAGCGAAAGCTCGTTCTCTTGTGCTAAAGAAACGATTAGCAGAGACGCAGGCATTGCTGGCTGCTAGTACAGCAGAAAATGCGCGACTCATAGCTGCGTTAAGAAGCGAAAAGGACAATGTTACAAAAGCGGAGAGTAAACTCACCGATGTACAGCGTTCGACGTTGACGTTAAGCGAGTAGTGTACGAAGACATCACGAGAGCTTACGTGCTGGACAGGAACGTTCTCTTGAGGACGCGAGAGCGTCGCAGAAAGTTACAGCGCGATACTATCACGCATATGACGAACTGGCTGAACTTAAGAAAACTGTAGCAGATTTGGAAGAACAAGGGAATGGAGAACACGTGGCTGCAGATAAGAACACGATCGTATTACTTAGTCGTGAGGTACAAGAGCTCTCTACTGCACTAACTGCGTCGAGTACGACGCATTCTAACCAAGCTATCGATGATAACGGCATGTAGCGCTAAACCACGAGTTCATAACGGGGCTGGATGGTTTCGGGTTGGAATTCAAGCTAACTGATATGTTAAATGGAATGTCGACGGCGTTGACTATTGCTGAGGGTATTGACGCTACGGCTGCTATGATCACGCAACGGTTAAGACAAAACTGCAACAATTCACTCTACTTAATGAATGCAAACGGGAAAGAACAAGTCCCAGTTGTCTTTTTGACCGAACCAAGTGAGCTGCTAACTTTGAATGGAAATACCGCAAACCAACTCGTAACTTCTTCGGTTATAAACACACAAGCAAGTGGAGACTTCATCTATGGACGAGGAGTGAGCGCAGATGTACCCACTTACTTGCAACATGATGGAATTGTACGTAATTTTTACTTCCCTCGAACCAAAATTGAGCAACTTGTTGGTCAAATCTGGGACCAATTTGACGAACAAATTCGAGCTTCTCACAACCGAAATTCCACTTTTCGTCTCTCAAATGAGGGCGCTATGAGCTCTTGTGGAGCGTCACTGACTGTGGCGCCTGAGTAGTTCTTACAATGCTCTCGAGACAATCGCGCAGATTGAGTAGAACTGGTCTACAACTTCTTGAACGGTTTAGAACGTTACAGTTCAAAGTCAAGTGTATGTCGGTTGTTCTATCTCGTCTTGAACCAAGAACTCCCCATTGAAGCACGGAGTGATCAAATGAAAGAACTGACGAAGCTTCACGAGGCTCTGGCAGTCGTAGACCGAACACTTATCTAGTTCTTTTGACGACTCGAGAATTCGCTATCTCCAGGTCGAGTAGTACTAGCAAATGTGTTCAAACCCTTCATCTGGCATTCCCCTGGAAGTCTGACGCTCAGCTAAGTCAACTGCATCGAGCTCTGTTTGTCGATTTATGAGGAAACAGCCAGGTGGATTATGCTGCTTTGTTATCCCATCATACACAGGATACGAATTCGGTTAAGGCGCGTGTACAGGTTAAGTGGCAGTTCGCAGAGTGTCTAAAGATGCAGCGTCTTGACGATCTCCTGCCTTTCCGACGCCGTGCTCAAGACCAAATTCAAATGTTCTACTGAAGATACTGACACGCTGATGATCTCGCTGCGTGGTGGTCGGGCCTGTCTTAATGCTGCAGATGCGGCCATGTCTGAGTCTGAAATTACGCGTACTCTAGCTACTGTTTCGGAGTTAAACCCACGAGAGCTACTCACACACGACGATATGATGCTAGATCCGCATCAGATTCTACAGCGTTTTCCGACTTTACTACTACGACCAACAGGCTAGAATCACAGATTTAGAATATTGATAGAAACTCATGAAATTTAGAATGGAAATTTAAAACACCTAGATTTTTCAAGAACTATTAGCTGTACGTACATCCCAAGGCACAAGCTGCGCTGAGGCGCGAACTTTAACTTGCAAGGCTAGAAGAGCCTCGCTACTTGATCGTCGAGACACATGATGAGGTCTCGCCACTTTGTCCGCTTTAGGCACAAGCAGATTTATCATCTGGAAACTCGGCTGGACGGACAGAAATTGGCTTACGCTTGAGCTTTTGTTGACGCTTTGAAGTCACTTTTCTCGTCGTCCTCGAGCCAGTCTTTGCAAGGCGTTTTGCTCTCACTGGCTTGCATTTGAGCCTCGTCTATTTCCTCACGCTCGAGATCTGCCACAGCAATAGCTTGGCTCCTGCCAGCCACGCTGGTATTCCTGCTGTACTAGGCAGACGGTGGACAATATAGACGCGTCCTTTGTCCAGATGCGTTGGAACGCCAGCAAAACGTTGGTCTGGAGCATCATAGTCCAGATCTGAAGACTCTAAAACTAGTTTCAGAGTTGCACAAGCAAGTGAACTTGCATTTGCTGGCGTGTACAACGAAATTCTGGGACCTGAAGGGGAACACGAAGCCGATTATCCTCGCACATAAATCTTAAGCCGCTTTAGCGTTAGCAAGAAACTCAGCTTCCTCTCTCCTACAACACATCGAGTCTTTCGACGCAGCTTAAAACTATGTGTACGATGTTTACTAATAGCATTTAAAGCCGATGCTCTCGAGATCGCAACCGAGGAATCAGAGCGTCACAACCCCTTCGACTTCAATGAGGGCGTCTACCAACTCAACTCCCTCATCTAAAATGATATTTCCCTCAATTTCTACGCTACTAGTGAGTTTTTTGGATAAAAAAAAACCGTTTCCTTATTCTGCATCGGTCCGTCCCTTCACACAGCTTAACCCCCCTGTTACCAACGTCATAAGTTATGACATAGTCCAAATTGTACGTCGTAACTTACGACATAGTGTTTTCTTCATATAGGAGTTGGCTCGGAAACGGCGACCTGATACTGAAATCAAATCAAATTTGGGGCCGATCGGATATAAGGCTGGAGAGGTTTTTGCTGCACACACAAAGCCAGTACGAGGGAAAGGGTTCAAGTGCACCTTTCCAACTGTCATCATTTGACGAGTGGCCAGAAGTCTTCGGGCACTCTCAGCCATTCGAGATTTTGGCGGCTGAGACGTAAGCAAATTCTGGTCTTTGTGAGCGCAAGGACCAAAGCTGAGGCTCAAGCGTCGGTGTCAGCGCCCGCCCTGGATCCGCGCCTGGTAGACTTCGGCCACCTGTGGCGCCAGCTCAAGGCCGCGGGGTGGCGGTCGAAGCCTCCCACCGGACTGTCAAACGATTGGGCGTACGTCAGGCCGTCAAGCGAGGTTCCTGCAGAAGGCGAGATTGTGTTCTACGGTGTGTTGTGCTGTTGCAGTATTACTATGCGTCATTTCTAACTTGGTTTGTGGTAGGTGAGAGAGCGGTGGTGGAGCACGCGATCGCAACCGGACTGATTCAGGATGAAGAGGACAACAGCAGTGGCGAGGAGAGTGGAGATGGCGGTGAAACTGGGAGCGGTGGCGGCGGTGAAGCTGTGAGCGGTGGGGGTGGTGAAGCGGGGAGCGGTGGGGGCGACAGCGGTGATGGAGATATGGTGCGAGCGTCGCAGATTGATTGCAATGTGGCCCTCTCGGCCAACACAGTCGACGCGCTGTTTGGAAGTGACAGCGAGGACGATGGCACACCTGCGTTGTCGCAGAACGCGGTTGGGAGAGCTTTCGGGCTATCCCCGCTACGTGCTGACGCGGTGCATGACTCAGACCAGAGTGTCGTGATCGGAGCTTTTCAGCGGGTGCTCTCGGAGACGGAGCCCGACCTAGACGCTGAGGACGACACGGTGGAGGAGCCGAGAGACGCCAGCGAGGGTGACGACGCTGGAGGACCAGTTGTACCACGCGATCCAGCTGATGTAAACTTGATGAAGGCTGGAGATCTGAGAGAGGAGTACGGGAGTCTGAGGTCAGGCTCCGACTACGGCCAGTTTTCTGACGACGACGACGTGGAGCCTGTCCGTCCTGATCCAGACGAGGACGTCAGTGGTCGTGCAAGGTGTGCTCGCTGTATCGAGGCGAGCTCAAAAAGTCGTTCCAGACGACCTACTGCTGCCCGGACTGCTCCAACGGCGACGCCAAGTTCTACCTGTGTGGCAAGGCGCGCAGAGGTGGCGACAAGACTTGCTTCCAAGTGTGGCACGAGGACTTCGCGTGCGGTGA